CTCTTTCCTGAGGTGAGCCGCCCTCAGTGTCCCATTTTTCATGGCATCTAGAGAAATGCTGAGGTTCTTGCTCCCCCGGCTGGGTAGACGCGCAGGATGGTAGTGCAGGCAGGTCCTTTTTGGGTTATCTGTTGCTTACTTGAAAAATGAAAAAAAGAAAAAAAAAAGAATTGAGCCTGAGAAGGTGAGTGCCTGACGTCATGCCATTTGTTAGTGGTAGAACTGAGGTTGAAAGTCAGGTCTGCAAATTCGTGGGCCACTGCCCATTTTGTGACTGTTAGGTCAAAGTTAGTTTTTTTATTAAAAGATCCTTCTGAAAATTGTAAGCAGGTGAGAATATTAAAAAAAAAGAATCTTGCCTTAAACACTCCCATCCCTTTTTTCAGAGGTTTCTTGGATTATCTGACCTCATAGGATTAATGGTGTTAGCAGATAACCAGATGAACAATATGCTTTGAGGTGTTTTTCTCCCCCTACAACATCAGTTTTGGCAGATCCATAGTGTTCCTTTCTTTAGATTACTGTTCAATGTTAAACTCATCTCATGTTTTTAATTTTTCTGTGTCACAGAACCTAAATTGGTAATAAATCAATAAGAAACAAATGTTTACATTCACTCAGTGAAAAGTATCATGTCTAAGCTCAACATAAATCGGAGCCACACATGGACAAGTAAGTATCTTGTGTGTGGAGCTGTGTAGGCAGGTGAATCCAGGAACTACAAGGCAGGCCAAGTTCTTACTTCCTTCTTCCTTCTCCCTCAGCTCTCCCTCCTCCACTAAGAGTGAAAAATGAACAAATCCCAGGTGAGTTTTTTTTTTTGTTTATTGCCATTTTGTCTTAAAATGCATTTTCTAAAGTTTCTAAAGGTTTATAAAACCTCATGTTAGCTCATTTGTATTTCTAACTTAAGTAGCAGGTAGTACTGGCTTTTGTTTCTGCATTTCCATTTCCATTTCCACCTAATACATGCAGTCTTGCTTCTTCACCACCACTCACCTGAATCAGTTCTGGAAAAGACCACCAAATTGTAATCAAATCCAGTTTTTGTCTTTGTCTTACTTGACCCTTTTGCAGCATTTGGTACTATTATCCATAGTCTCTTTGTTTTGGAAGTCTCCTCTGTTGTTGTCTATGATACTACCCTCCTAGCTCTTCTTTTCCTAACTTCTGTCCCTCATGAAGTTGGCTTTGCCTTTTGCCCCAACATTGCTTATCCTTGGGTTTATTGCTTATCCCCTGCTTATCTATCCTTAGCCAACTGCCCTTCCCAGTATACCTATTTTTCCTGTTTTTGTCTTTTTTAAAAAAATGAAATAATTAAAAATTGTTAGTATGTTAACATGGTTTTTTAAAAAAGTAAGTGATACAAAAAAGTAAGTAAAGGGACTTCCCTGCTGGTCCAGTGGTTAAGACTCCGTGCTTCTACTGTGGGGGGATGTGGGTTCGATCCCTGGTCGGGGAGCTGAGATCCCGCATGCTGCTTGGTGTGGCTAAAACATGAAAAAAAAAAAAAAGTAAGTAAAAATTCACACCCCATCCTCTCTGTAGCTGATGCTTCCTCCAGGTAGGGTGACATTTATTTCTCATCTAAACTGCGACACTTTCAGTGAGAGTGAAAGAAGTTTTATTAACAATTATGCTGAGACAGCTGGCATATATTGGGACAGTCCCAGATGAACTGCAGTGTACTGTCACCCTACTATAGGTATACATTATTTCTATTTCTTGTTTGTCCTCCCAGTGTTTCTTTATTCAGTTGAAAGAAAATATGTGCTCCTGGCCTTTATTTAAAAGGGAATCTATTATTAGAGCTTCTTAAATTTAGATGCACCTGTACATCCCTGGCAACGTGTTAAAATGCAGATTTTGATTTAGTATATCTGGGTGGGGCCCTGGAGTCTGCATTTCTAATCAGCTCCCAGATGGAGTTGATTCTGCTGCTCAGGGAACCACACTGAGTAATGAGTGTATACACTATTTCCCATTCTTTTTCTTATTCTTCTTTTTTTTTTCTTTTTCTTTTTTCACTTCTTTTTTCAGCCTGTTCCCAGGGATCTTTCTGTTAACAGAACATCTTTCTTTGTTAACAATCACATGATAATTCAATTGCGAATGTTCCATAGTTGATTAAACCAGTTATTAACGATTTCCAACCTTTTGCTACTACAAACCATGTTTTAATGAATAGCCTTGTACATGTAGGTTTATTCTACCAGATAAATTCCCAGAAGTGAGATTGCCAGGTCAAAGGGTTGAATACAAGTGATAAACTTGATCCTTTTGGTGGGATTATAGATAGTATCATTTTGTATTTCCATTGGTACTGCATGATAGTGCTTTTTCTCCATAGCTTCTCCCACAGAAATACGTGGTTCACTTTTGGATTTTGGCAACTGATAGGTAAAAATTAGTATTTTATGTACTTTACATCTGTAATTATCTTAACTATGAGAGAGGTTGAAGATTTTTTTCATGCATCTAAAAGGTGTCTTATTTTTATATTTCTGTGAACTATCTGTTCTTATCTTTTGCCCATTTTGCTCTTAGGTTTCTGGCTTTTTTCTTTTTTTCAATGTCTGGTTAGCTTTTTGTATATTAGGGATACTAATGCTTGTCTTTTATATGAGTTATTTTCTGGTATATCATTTGTCTTTTGATGATTGTTCATGGTTTTTTTTCCCCCATGCAGGTATTCTGCTTCAGGATACCACAATTCACTTAGTCATCATGTTTCCTTAGACTCCCCTTGGCTGTGACAGTTTCTCAGACTTTCCTTGTTTTTGATGACCTTGTCAGTTTTTGAGGAGTACAAGACAGGTGTTTTGTAGAATGTCCCTCACTTGGGAATTGTCTGCTGTTTTTCTCGTGATTATATTGGGGTAATTGTTTTCGTGGAGAAAGACCACAGAGGTAGAGTGCCATTTGGTAACATCTTATCAGGGTAAATGCTCTTCACATGACTTTTCACTTTTCAACAGATGATGAATCACTTTTGATCACGTGGCTGAGGTCATGTGGTCAACTTTCTCCACTGCAAAGTTATTCTTTTTTCATCTGTTTTCATACTGTACCCTTTGGAAGAAAGTGGGGAGTTATGCTACACCTCCTTCATGGTGGAGTATCCACATAAATTATTAGGAGTTCTGCACAGGAGACTTGTGTATTTATTAACTCAGTCAGTGTTTAATATCAATATGAACTCACGGCTAGTTATTTTTTACCTTGTTTATAGTCCAGTACTACCTTGGTCATTTTGTTGCTCAAATTGTTTCAGCTTGGTTATTAAATAGAGCACTTTCAACTGGTTCCTGTGTCTTTCTGATGTACCCCATTATTTTGTTTTTGTTTGAGTACCTCTTCTATACTTTCTGGTAGTAGAAGATATTCCAGGCTCATCTTATATTTCCTGCCCTAGAATTAGCCATTTTTCCCTGAAGAGCTCTGGTTCCTTTTATTGGAGCATGGTATTAGAAACCAAGATTGGGGGGCTGGATTGCTACTGGTTTCTAATTCCTTAGAGACCCTCTCAGCTGACTGAACAAGAAAATATATATGTATACTAACTCACATGTATACACATATCTATAAATATTTCAGTATGTAACCGTCTGTGTTTGCATTAAGCTAAGTATTATTTCACACTGATGTCCCCTGCTGTAATCATTATCACATGGAACATTCTAGCGTTCTCTCCTTGCTTGTCTGTAACTCCCATTTTAGCAATCTGGCTACCACCATCCACACTTCATTTACTTAATTGTTCAGTTCCAGCATACATGTATAAGTGATTTCTGAGTCATTAACCCATGGACTCTTGGTTCCTTCCAGTTTTTGGTCATTATGAATTAAGCTGCTAGAAACATGTAGGTTTTTACATAGACATACATTTTTAAATAGCTAGGGTGTGAAACTGCTTGATCATATGTTAAGACTGTTTAGCTTTGTAAGAAACTACCAGCCAATTTTACAAAAGTGCTGTATCATTTTACATTCCTACCAACTGTGAATCAGAATTCCTCTTCTGCATCTGGAACTGAAATTGATGTTGTCATTGTTTTGGATTTAACTGTTCCAGTAGGTGTGTCATGGTATCTCATTTTTGTTTTAATTTATATTTCCCTAATGACAGATGATATTGAGCATTTGTTCATAAATTTATCTGCTATCCATATGTCTTTGCTTGACATGTTTATTCATATCTTTGGTCCATTTTTCTATTAGGTGATTTGTTTTCTTACTATTGAGTTTTCAGAGTTCTTTTGTATATTTTGAATATAACTTCTTTATTAGATATATATGTTGCAGATATTTTCTTCCAGTCTGTGGCTTGACCTTTCATTTTCTTACAAATGGCTTTTGCAGGGCAAAATATTTTTTTTAAATGAAACCCAACCCATGTATTTTTTTAATGGAATGTGCTTTTTTTTCATTGTATTTAAAAACTCATCACCAAATCCAAGATCACATAGAATTCCTATGTTCTATATTGTCTTCTAGAAATTTAATAGTTTTGCATTTTACTTCTAGGTCTGTGATTCATTTTTAGTTAATATTTGTATAAGGTCTGTGTCTAGGTTTATTTTTTTGCATAGATGTACAGTTGTTGAAGAATCATTTGTTGAAAGACTATCTTTTCTCCATTTAAATGCCATTGTGCCTTTGTCAAAAATCAGTTGACTATGTAAAACAAACTAGTGAATATAACAAAAAAGAAACAGACTCACAGATATAGAGAACAAACTAGTGGTTACCAGTGGAAAGAGGGAAGGGGGAGGGGCAAGATGGGGTAGGGAATTAAGAACTAGAAACTAGTATGTATAAAATAAATAAGCTACAAAAATATACTGTACAACACAGGAAATATAGCCAGTATTGTATAATAACTATAAATGGAATATAATCTTTACAAATTGTGAATCACTATGTTGTACACCTAAAACTTACATAGTAGTGTACATCAGCTATACCTCAATTACAAAAAAAAAAAAATCAGTTCACTATGTATCAGTGGATCTGTTCCTGGGACCTCTGTTGTTTCACTGATCTATGTGTCTCTTTCAACAATAACACACTGTCTTGGTTACTTGTAGCTTTATATGTCTTGAAATCAGGTACTGTATATCCTCTTTTTCCTTCTTCCATATTACGTTGGCTATTCTAGGTCCTTTACCTTCCTGTTTAAATTTTAGAATCATTTTTTCAGTGTCTACAAAATAGCTGGGATTTTTATTTGAATTTCACTGAATTTATAGATTAAGTTGGAAGGAATTGACATGTTAACAATACTGTCTTCTGATTGATGAATGTGGAATATCTCTCCATTTATTTAGATCTTCGATTTCTTCCATCAGTTTTTGTTTCTCTGCATATCCCTGAAATATATTGTGTTAGATTTATATTTGAATACTTTGTTTTTGGTAGTCATATTGCAAATGGTATTTTTTTATTCAAAAATTTGAAATTCCAATTCTTTATTCTGATATGGGAAAACAGTTGACTTTTTAATATTGACCTTATATCCTATGATGTTGCTATATTTGCTTATTACTTCCAGGATTTTTTTCTTTTTCTTTTTGTAGATTCTTTGGGACTTTCTACATAGACAATGTGACTTCAAATAAAGACAGTTTTATTTTTTCTTTCTAATCACATTTCAGTTTTTTATTTTATTTCAGTTTTTTTTTTTTTTTTTTGCAATATGCGGGCCTCTCACTGTTGTGGCCTCTCCCATTGCGGAGCACAGGCTCCAGACGCGCAGTCTTAGCAGCCATGGCTCATGGGCCCAGCCGCTCCACGGCCTGTGGGATCTTCCCGGACCGGGGCACGAACCCGTGTCCCCTGCATCAGCAGGCAGACTCTCAAGCACTGCACCACCTGGGAAGCTCTTTTTGTTTGTTTTGTCTTGTTGTAGGTCTTTCTGTACTAGTTAGGACTTGAATAGGAGTATTAAGACAGGACATCCTTACCCTATTACTGCACTTAGGGAAAAAGTGTCCAGTCTCGTAACATTAAGTATGATGTTAGCTTCTTCATTAAGTCAGGAAAGTTCCCCTCTATTCCGTTTGCTGAGAGTTTTTATCATGAATGACTGTAGGATTCTGTCACATGATTTTTCTTCATTAATTGATATGATCATATAATTTTTCTTCTTTGGCTTATTGACATGTTGGATTATATTGATTGATTTTTTTTAATGCTGACCCAGCCTTCCATACCTGCAATAAAGTCCACTTGGTTGTGGTTTGTATTTCTTTTTATACATTGTCAGATTTGATTTGCCAATATTTGAGAAGTTTTGCATCTATGTTATTGAGAGACATTAGTCTTTATTTTTTTCATAATGTCTTTATCTAGTTTTGGTATTAGGGTAATGTTGGCCTCATGTAATGAGTTTGGAGGTATTATTTACCAGAGGAGATTATGGAGAATTGTTATTATTTTTTCCTTAAATGTACAGTAGAATTCACCAGTGACGCCATCTGGGTTTGGTTCTTTCTATTTTGGAAGTGTTTTAATTATTGATTCAGTTTTTTTTTTAACAGAAATGAGTCTATGCAGGTTATCTGTATCTCCTTGTGTGAATTTGGTAGCTGTGTCTTTTAAGGAATTTGTCAATTTCATCTATGTTACCAATTTTTCAGGAACAGAATTATTTATAGTATTCTCTTATTATATTTTTAATGTCATTAGGCTTAGTAGTGTCAACCTATCTTTCATTTCTGAGATTTCCAATTTGCCTCTTTTTTCTTGGTTAGATTGGAGGTTTATTAATTTTATTGATCTTTTCAAAGAAGCAACTTTGAGTTTCATTGGCTTTTTGTTTTTTTTTTCACATTTTCAATTTAATTGATTTATTCTAATTTTTATTATTTCCTTTACTTTGCTTGGTTTAGGCTTAATTTGCCTTTTTTCTCTAGTTTACTAAGATAGAAGCTTAGGTTTTTGATTTTTAATCTTTTCTAATGTATACATTTGATGCTATAAATGTCCTCTGTGCACTGCTTTTACTGCACCGCACAAATTTTGATACATGGTATTTTCATTTTTATTCCATTTCATTTAAAATATTTTAAAATTTCTTTTGAGACTTCTTTGACTTATAGGTTATTATAAGTTGACTTACAGGTTATTTAAAACTTATAGGTTAGACTTATAGGTTATTTATAAGTATGACTTACAGGTTATTTATAAGTATGTTGTTTAATTTTCAACTCTTTGGGATTTTTCAGTTATCTCTTGCTTATTGATTTCTATTTAATTCCACTGTGGTCTGAGAACATATTTTGTATGGTAACTATTGTTTTAAATTTGTTAAGGTGTGTTTTGTGGCCAGGACTATGGTTTATCTAGGTGAATGGACCATTATCTAGGTGAATGGACCATATGAGCTAGAATAGAATGATAGAATGTGTGTTTTATTTTTTTGGATGGAATATTCTACAGATGCCAGTTAGATCATGTTGACTGATAGTGCTGTGCAGGTCATCTGTATACTTACTGATTTTCTGCCTGCTCAATTGCTCAAGATAGAAGACTCCAACTATGGTTTTAGATTTGTCTATTTCTCCTTTCATTTCTATCAGTTTTTGCTGTATGTATTTTGATACTCTTTTGTTAGATGAATATGTTTCAGATTGTGTCTTCTTTCTCTAATATGATTTGAATCCATCTAATGGTTCTTAATTTCAGATATTGTAATTTTCAACTTTGGAATACCCATTTTATGCACGTATGTATGTATCTGTGTGTGTTTGTATACACACGTATCAGAGGTCCCCAAGACCATCACCAGGTTCAGTGATTTGCTAAGATGACTCAGTATGTAGTTGTACTTACTGCTATCACTTATTGAAGTGAAAGGGTACAAAGCACAATCAGCAAAGGGAAAAGGCACATGGGGCATAGTCCAGAGGACACCAGGCACAAGCTTCTAAGAGTCTTCTCCCAGGACACACCTAAGTCCTCTAGCAGTGAGATGTGGCAACTGATGTGAAATGTCTGCCAGGGGAGCTCAACAGACACTCAGTGTTCAGCATGTTTATCAGGGGCTAGTCACATAGGTGCTTTCTGCTTAGCATATAACAGAATTCCAGACTCCAGAAGGAATGTATGTGTGCAGCAAGAACCATATTGTTTACACAAACAGTTTAGGCTCAGTGAACCATTCTTATTAAGGATTGGTAAGAACCCTCCTGAAATCCAAGTTCCCAGATGCCAGCCAAGGAACACCCTTGTAGGAGATCGTTCAGAGGATAGCAGTCTCAGGCCTGCTCTGTTAATTCTTTCTCCACAACACACATACCACATATCTGTTGAACTTCTCCCATCCTTTCATTTATTTTGTTCATATTTTCCTCTATTTTATTGAACCTATTAATCATAACTCATTTTGAAGTTCTTGTTTGTTCCAATATCTGAGTGTCCTATGGGTACGCTTTTATTTTCTTTTTTTCCTTGGTCTTTATCTCTTCATATAACATGAAAATTTTTATTGGATGCCAAACATTGTATTTAACAACACAAATATTGGTAGAGGCTCCAGAAAATGATCTCTTTTAGCAGAGAGGATTCATCCGTTTCTCTGTTGAGCAGGCAGAATACAGGACTGGTCACTTTAATCAGTCACGGGTTGAGCTTGGTTAGGGCCTGTGCCATATTAATTTTAATCCCTCTGTTCATTTTAACAACGGAAAGTTTTACTTCCTTAGTGACAGTTAACTTTATAATATAAAAGATTATATGAAAGAACATTTTCTTGGTAACCCCAGTCTGCTTTGTGCATAATGCTAGCTCCTACAATGTCTAATTTAATAAATGTTAATGTGTATGTCTCCTTATCAGGAATAACACTTGTAGCAGCTAGTTCCACCCCCTTATTGGAAACTCAATTTGTACAAGATATTACTTTTTTCCTACATAGGATAGCATAAAAGAAGGCAATCCTATATACCAATTTTTAGTAACTCTAAAGAGATTAGTTCTTTTAAATATTTACCACTCATAGAGCTCTGAAAAGTTCATTATAGAAAAGGAATATACTGTTACAGGAACAAGTGTCATTCAAAGATGTGTGTGTGGACTTCACCCGGGAAGAGTGGTACCTGCTGGATCCTGCTCAGAAGATACTGTACAGAGACGTGATCCTGGAAAATTACAGCCATCTTGTCTCAGTAGGTAAGAATTTTTTCTCCATGTGAACGAGTAGCATGCATTTCTTAGTTGATGAAACATAAGAACTCCCTGTGGAATTTTCTGATGGAGATTCAAGGGATCAGATGACTGATCCCTTTTGGCCACTATAAAGAATGCTATATTCTTACCTCTTTAAGGATTGGTTCATTTAGGCATCTCTTTTAGGTAGCTCCTGAAGCTATACATTTCTTCCCTATCATTTTTTCAGAGTCCGCGAAGCCAGGCTGTTCAGCCATAGTCCTGTGTTATTTTCTTTACAGGGAATTGCATTACTAAGCCAGAAGTGATCTTCAAGATCGAGCAAGGAGAAGAACCTTGGATATTAGAGGAAAGATTCCCAAAACAGTGCTGCTCAGGTGAGTTAGTGAGTTCACAGGCAGATGGAAGCCAGAGGAAATGAGATCTTAGGGCACTGGTTTATGGTTTATTAACTTTGAACTATTTTTCCAAAAAAACATTTTTTAGCCCCAAACCTTTGGAAGTGATTAAGGACAGTTGGCCCACATCCCTTTGTTACCTTAATCACACTCCTCCATATGTCACTTTCACTCATAAATGCTTCCCTTTGTTATTTGACATTTTAGACTGATTTACCTATATCCATAATCCAAACTCATTTGGCTTCATCTGAGATAATTTTTCTTGTTTACTTTATCTTTTAAAATTGTTCACCTTCTCTTTTAAAATTGTTCACCTTCTCTGTATTGTCTTTGGACATCTCTTGTTAGGTAGTATGTATTCATGCAATACTTCCATATATTCATTTAACAAATATATGCTGAGCGCCCAATATGACCCAACTATGTTTATAGGTAATTAAAAGAATGTCCCTATTATCACAGAGTGTCTATTACAGTGAGGGACGGAAAAGCATACATGTGTGTATAGGTGTAGGTTTGTGTATGTGTATGGAGTTATACATGCTTGTATACACACACATGTTGTTGGGTGGTGATAAATACTGTAGAGAGTTAAAGCAGTGAAAAGGGGGTTGGAGAATGATGGCATGTGCTATTTGGTATGGAAGTCAAGAGAAAACCTTTTTGATGAGGTCCACAATAGACAAGTCTCTAATAAATTAAAATGTGAGCTCTGTGGATTCTGAGTATTCCAGACAGAGGGAACATCAGGTGCTGAACTTCTCAGACAGGTGTGCTCTTAGGGTGTTTGAGGAATGGCAAGGATGTCAGTGTGGCTGGAGGTGAGAAGGCCTGGGGGAGATCGGTAGTAGATGATGTCATAAGTAGCATGTACCATGGGAGACCCATTAATTTTATTTTGAGTGATGTGGGAAATCCTCAGGCTTTTTTGAGTAAACATAAATCAGATTAAGCTATAAGATTGGATTTACAGTTTTAAAGGATCTCTCTGACTTCTGTGTGGTGAACATGTGGTGGGTAGATGATGCTTAGGCACGAGCAAGGAAGGAATAACAGGACACTACTATGTACTCGGGAGGAGAGAGGCTAGTGGCTAAGGCTATGTTGGAAGTGCTGAGAAATGGTGGATTTGTACATATATCTTGGAGATGAGGCCAAGAGGATTTGCTATTGGGTTGGATACAGAGTGTGAGAGAGAGAGGAGTGGAGCATGATTCCAGTGATTTGTCTCAAGCACCTGATAACTTAGCATACCATTTACTGAGATAGAGAAAATTTGGAGGAGAGATTATAGGGGAGTTATTACAAATTTTACATTTGGACACAAGAAGCTGAGGTAACTGTTAGAATCTGGTATTGAAAAGGCGATTTCAAATATACATTGTGTGAAGTACATAATGAGGCCAGACCTAGAAGTATCCATTTGAAAGGCATCAGCTTTAGGTGGTGTTAAAGGTTGGGGCTAGATGAAGAGTTTAAGATTAGAGATTGGCAAACTTTTTTGCAAAAAACCAGAGAGTAAATATTTTAGGCTTCGTGGGCCACACATGGTCTCAGTTGCTGCTGCTGCTCTTCCTCCTCCTCTTACCTCTTCCTCTTCCTCCTCACTCCTCTTTGCTGCCTCTTCTGTTGTTTTCCCTCTAAAAACATAAAAAACATCCTGAGTTCTAGGACCACTGCCTTACAATCATAGTTTGCTGTCTCCTTTTCTAGAGAGTGATTGTAAATGAGAGAGGTAGTCCTGGGATGGTACCACTTTTACAAGGTGTGTAAATCCATTAAATCTCGTCATTAGAGAAGACTGAGAGGAACAGTCTGAGGTACAAGAAAATTAGAGAGCCTGGTTTCCCAGGGGTCAAATAAGGAACATTCAACCATCCATTACTGCCTTAAATGGCAACCATGGGATCAGGGTATGGAACCCGTTATCCCCTATTACTAGTTTTTTCAAATACTCCTGATATTGTTTTCCTTTCCATCTTCTTCATGTCTTCATTTTCTCACTTTTCACTGATGTCACTCAAAACCATAACTTTGTTTCTGTTCTGTCATTCCTGACTTGATCTAATTCCTAATTGGTTTTTATTTTTTTACCTAAAGCATCCAATTTATCTTTCACTAGCCTAACAAAATTGCTCCTTATTAATAAATGAATTTATAGTCTCCTTCCATTGACTGTCACAATGTGGTCCTGTTCTATATATCTCAGTCTTTCTTTCTGCTCTTCAGAGTTTATACTAAACCTCATACTATCTTATGTCTTAAATTTCATAAATATTTATCCCCTATTACTAGTTTTTTCAAATACTCCTGATATTGTTTTCCTTTCCATCTTCTTCATGTCTTCATTTTCTCACTTTTCACTGATGTCACTCAAAACCATAACTTTGTTTCTGTTCTGTCATTCCTGACTTGATCTAATTCCTAATTGGTTTTTATTTTTTTACCTAAAGCATCCAATTTATCTTTCACTAGCCTAACAAAATTGCTCCTTATTAATAAATGAATTTATAGTCTCCTTCCATTGACTGTCACAATGTGGTCCTGTTCTATATATCTCAGTCTTTCTTTCTGCTCTTCAGAGTTTATACTAAACCTCATACTATCTTATGTCTTAAATTTCACTTATAAATATTTTATCCGTTTTCTATAACTTTTACTTTTATTTTGCCTTTTCAGAAACTTAATTAAAATTGTAAATGTAAAGTGTTTAAACATTGCATGGTATATAGTAATGGTTTGTTATTATTTTACTTATTTTAAGTTAGAGATCAATTTTTTGCTGCAACTTAAATAGTCCATATTTTGTAACCCTAACCCACTAGTATCTGTATCCCAAAAACTCAGACCTGATCATATGACTGCTGCTTGGGGTTTCTATCATTGTTGAGATTTTGTTTTCCCAAAGAGAAGGCCCTTTCATATTTTTCTTGATTCTGATATTTTAGTAATTACTTTGTTGAGCCAAGTTTAGAAGAGATCACTCTTTTTCATCCATTCAGAAAGCATTCTATAGTACTCTTCCTAAATGCACATTTCCTTATTTTGTCCTTATGTACAGGTTGGAAGTAATTCATATGCACATTACTTTCTAAGAATGATTAATGTACCGTGTCCTCAATGAAGTCAGAGGAAACAGGATTTTGGTAACACCTGTCAAGAGCTAGACTGTGGTCATGACAAAGGATTTAGCATTGAGCACTGGATTTGTTTTATTTTACAGTGAATTAAACAGACAGTAACTTCTTCTAAGGCAGCAAGTGGAAGCTAAACATGGTAGGGATGTTGTAGATTTTGTTGGCTTTTGTTCTTTTATTAATATTTTTGTGGTTTGTTGTTTTAAATTAAAGTAAGTAGCATTTCCTGAAGGATGTCCAGGTCCCAAGGAGAGCCAAGGCTGGAGTGTAGCTAATTAAGTGAAATGTGTGTTGTTGGGAATGAACAGTTTATGAGCGCTCCAGCTAGAGTTGCACAGATAGTTTTTAATGGATTTGTGGAATTGTGATTTGAACTCTTACTGTGAATCTAGTTTTTGTTTTGATTTGTGTTTGCCAGTATAAAAACTATTATCAGTTAGTCTTTGGAGCAGTGGGCTCAGGATTGTTCTAGATTTTTTTTAACCACGTAATTAACATTGTTGCATTGGGTACCAACAGTAAAGTATAGACAAGAATTTTTATGATAAAGTTTGTTGAAGGTCTCAGAACCATATAGAAAAATGTGATCATTATGGGTCTCACCAGTAAGTAAAAGCCACAGATGAGGCTAGATATGAAAGCAGAAAACCTCACTGTAAAGATAAACCTAGATATAAAAGCAGACTTAAAAATCAGTATTGCTTCAGAAACAAAATTGTTTTGGGGAAAAGTAGACCAGCAGACTGAAGTAAAGAAACATATGACTTGATGGTTGGGACAACTTCATTAACAGCTGTGAGAAAACCAAATGAACCTGGTCGTTTTGCAGAGATGGTCTGCCCCTCCTCTATTTTGTATTTCCTGTTGGGCATTTGTGTTGTTGTGAATCACAGCTAGATAGAGAGTTAGAGTCTGGGTTAAAGCACTGTCCCTTAAAACATGAGGAAATAGGTGCTTTCAGAAATTTATTTTGATGTTGCTATATCAAATGGGAAAAAGAGGAATGGCAACATGCATATTAGTGAGGATCCTACCACAGTAATCAAGCTGTGGGAAGATAAGGACAAGAAACCATAATCTGTCTCTGTCAAACTGAGTACTTCCTCTAATATGTTTCTCAGACAGTCTATTTTCCTTTAAAAAAACAAAACAAAAACAAAAAACCTCCTTTGTTGAACTCATCCAGTTCTCAGAGTTTCCTGCTCCCTACATGAACAATGCTCAGAAAATCTCCATCCCTTGCTCACTGTGTCGTGAGTTCATTTCACCTTCTCTAGCCTGCTGCTCTTACAGCATTTAAAAAAATAATTATTCCTTGTGAATTAAAGGAAAAACTAGATCCTGGGCTAGTGGACAATTCTTCTGAACCTGAGGAAGTTGGTGTTTTCAGAACTTTAGGCTGGTGTTGATGTGTAGAGTAGAAGCAAGTACTCTAGTAGGAATCCCACCCAGCAATCAGTGTCTGAGGGGATTAGGACTAGACTGTTCTGTCTCCACCAAACATAGTTCATCCCCTGAAAGCCCTTGTCTGCTAATCTTCAGTGTCACTTTATTCAGTGTTCAATGTCTCTGTTGGGCTCACTCCATTCTCTTGAGCTTCCTGATTTCTGAATCAGCCACTCACCGGTTCCCTGTGCTTTGAATTTATTTCACCTTTTTCTGTCCAGTTTTAAAGGTTATATTAATAAAGTATTCCACTGCAGCATGTATTTATTTTCCACTCAAACCAGAAGGGTAAAGGAAATGTATACTTGGATTTAGTTTACACCAGAAAACTGAGCCTAAAACAAAAGAATTGACTGTGTAATAGGACATTAGTGTAAAAGTGCAATTCCATTAGAAATGTACTAGGATTTATAAGACGTGGTTATTTTTCTCATTTCTAGAAGACTGGAAAGTTGATGACCTGATAGAGAGCAGCCAGGAAAATGAAGATGATCATTTTTGGCAACTTGCTTTCACCAACCAAACGTTAAGTACAGATAGTGGTGACAGAGTAAGGAAAACTTTAAATCTAGGTACAGACTCTGTTCCTTCAAGAAATTTTCTGTATAAGATATGTGACACATGTGAAATGAGTTTGAAAAATATTTCAGGCTTAATTATTAATAGAAAGAACTATTCTGGAAAGAAGCCTGATGAGTTTAATGTATATGAGAAATTGCTCCTTGATATTCGGCATGAGAAAACTCCTACTGGAGGGAAATCTTATAAATATAATCAAAAAAAGAATCGTAGCCAGGATCTCACTCAGCCATTTTTTGACCCACCTTTTGAATATAATGAAAATGGACAAGGCTGCCATGGGGAGGCAGACTCTTTCACAAACAAGAAAGCTCAGATAGGAGAGACACACTGTAAGTATAATGAATGTGGAAGAACTTTCATCCAAAGTTTAAAGCTTAATTTATCTCAGAGAACTCATTTGGAAATGGAGCCATATGAATGCAGTATTTGTGGGAAGTCCTTCTATATGGATTTAAGATTGGGGCATCAGAGAGCTCTTACAGGGGAAAATCCTTATAATGAATATGGGCAGATTTTCTGTGACAGTTCAGCTTTCATTATCCATCAGGGAAATTACACAAGAAAGATCCCCCATGAATATAAAGTAAGTCACAAAATGTGGGAAAAGTCAGCCCTCTTTAGACATCAGATAGTACACATGGGGGAAAAACCTTATGAGCACAATGAAAATGGAAATACTTTCAACAAGAAGTCACATCTCACTCAACTTCGAAGAGCTCACTCAGGAGAAAAAACCTTTGAATGTGGTGAATGTGGGAAAACATTCTGGGAGAAGTCAAACCTCACTCAACATCAAAGAACACACACAGGAGAGAAACCCTATGAATGTACTGAATGTGGGAAGTCCTTTTGTCAGAAACCACATCTTACCAACCATCAGCGAACACATACAGGAGAAAAACCCTATGAATGTAAGCAGTGTGGAAAAACGTTCTGTGTGAAGTCAAACCTCACTGAACATCAGAGAACACACACAGGGGAGAAACCCTATGAATGTAATGCATGTGGAAAATCCTTCTGCCACAGGTCAGCCCTAACTGTGCATCAGAGAACACACACAGGAGAGAAACCCTTTATATGTAATGAATGTGGGAAATCCTTCTGTGTGAAATCAAACCTCATTGTACATCAAAGAACTCACACAGGAGAGAAACCTTATAAATGTAACGAATGTGGGAAAACCTTCTGTGAGAAATCAGCTCTCACTAAACATCAGAGGACTCACACAGGGGAGAAACCCTATGAGTGTAATGGATGTGGGAAAACCTTTAGTCAGAGGTCAGTACTCACTAAACATCAGAGAATTCACACAAGGGTGAAAGCTCTTTCAGCATCCTGAACGTTCTGAAGCCTTTATCCACTCTTTCAAATTCGTTATACAGGTTTTTAAAATGAGATTAATGAAACCCAAAGAATGCCACAGATTATTAGAAAGTGAGGTTTTGTTGTACTTCAGATAATTAGTACTAGAATAAAACCTTATAATGTTTTGAATATGTGAAAGCTTTCAAGAAAAATTAAAACTTTCCATCAGAAAATTTATATTGAGGGGAAATTCATTTAAATAATATGGCAAAAACCTTTATCTCAAATTTATGTTGTGTAGTGCCATATTCTGGATGTGATGCCGAAATTGTATTGTAAATCTAATGGATGATACCCTTTTACAGTCATATTCACAGAATCATAAGTTTAAAAAAGTTAAATGACAACAGCATTAAACATTTACGTGAAGAGTCCTTGATGTTTGCAGGCCATATGTGAGTATGCTAATATCATAGAAATTTGAGGTATTCTTGATATGTATATTAGAGCCCAACAAGCTTGTGAAGAGAAACTCTGAACCCTTAGTTAAGTAACTATTATGGTCTATATTAATATTTCCCACACTAGATATCATCAGTGTCTTTATAGGTTGACACAATTATGTACATATGTATATGTAAATATGTTTATACACACATACCAACACACAGTGGTGTACTGCAGTAAGCTTATACTGGCTTGCAAGTACTGCTGATTGTTAAATTTTCAGGAATTTTGTGAGCCAGTTGTTAAAAAGAGTCATTATTTAAAAATTAAACTATATAAACTTACAGTTAACTATTTAAAAAGCAAGGTAATAAGTACTCAACACTCATTACTTCCTAATTATTTTACAGTATTTTGCTGTTATCTTTGTTCTTTAGGTTATTTGTATTGTTGAATCTGCATGGTGAATACTGTATAATGATGTGCTACTGGACATCTCTTCCCAGCTCTACATTCAGTGCCATAATGTCGGTAGCTTGGCTTTAGTGGGAGTATTTACACCATGATAATTGTCAAACTCTACAAATCAGGGTTTTGTTTTCTCAGAGAACCTGTAGTCACATATTTACAGTAGCACATCACTGTGTATTTATGAAAATACATTTGGAAAATTTAAAGTACAAGTCACATACTCCTTTTTCCATTTCCTGATATAAATAAATGGCTATGGCCATTATTGCTGAATGGCCTCTTGAATAAAGAAGGCAAAATATGTTTTTGTGAGGTTTTTAACTACCTCTGCATCAATCCTATTCTAAATACTACCAGAGTCTCTCTGTAGTATGGCCAGTATATGCTATTTTACAACCATATTGCTTACCTTTCTTCTGAGTTTGCTGGCATATGTGAATGAGTATGGCCATTTTTACTGAGCTTCCACTTCCATAAAAGAGCCAAACAATTTTTTTCTGAGCTTACTCAGCTGCCTTGGGTCAGTCAATAATGCAAATGCTATTAATAACAACGATATTTACATAAATTTCGCAAAGGTTAACATCAGTTATGAACAGTAATGCTCACTGCATTCTACAAATAAAAAGTAGTGGTGTATAATGAAATGCCTCTGTCATATTCTTGGTGCTTCGTTGCTGTATCTATTTAGGCATGATGTGTGTAACCCGAGTTGTATGTAACAAAGGAACTATGTGTTTGTATTTAATTTAATAGACTGTAATATACTGTCTCTCTCTCCTTTGTCTTACTGTTTCCTTTGCTTCCTTGGAACACATTGAAAGCAGTTCCAAGAGATACTGCCCACCCAACAGCCAATCCCTGCTTCTTAGTTGCTGGGCTGTTTTGTCTCTTTGTCCGTCCTTCCCCAGATGATTTAGGGGTAAATCCACATTAGTCTAAGTTAATCAAGAAGATTCTATTCTAATGATTTTGTTGGGATGGACATGTAAGCAGTGAGATATTTGGAAAATATTCTGCAGTGCTTCGGGGAAAGATCTCAGTGATAAAGTATTGTCATGACATGGGAAGAGATTGTCTCTCTTCTGCTGGACATTTTCATGTCTGTATGTTACACTAGATTATAGTTGTGACCCTGAAGGACAATAGCCTGAGGATAACAGTACACAAGATGGGAAAAGCCTGGCTCAGAGATGACATCACTAAGCTGCACAACTCCTTTTGGACCTGCTCTCTACTAGGAGTTTGAATTACTGTGGCAATAGTGGCTTCTTGTTTATTCTCAGGGATGTCTGTTACTTAGACCTGAAGGCAGTCCCCTGATACAGATGAATTCTTGTCTATGTGTTAATGTTCTGTACAGCAATTTTAGGGAAGAATTATGTCTTTTGACAAGTTAGTATAGAGATGGCTGTTAGTATCAGCCATCGTTCTGGTGAAAAACAGAATTCTGCTTCAACTAAGAAGACTTCAGTGGCAGACTTATTACAGTACAGTAGTTTGGGCCAAAAACAAGGGATATTGAAGCACCTAGAGACTAGTGTCACCAGGAAGCCATTACCATTCTAAGTCCTTAAGGGGCAAAGGATGGAAGCAAGTGTTACCAGAGCCCAATAAGAGCTGCTCTTATGGAGGAGGGGCCTCCTCATAGGAGATATTGTCACTACCAAAATTTTGGCACCAAATCCCCAGAACCCTCAGGTGCCACCTGCAGGTGAGCACAAGTGGGCACAGAGAATGTAGAGGGGAAGGTCTGGGTGGAGCTATTGGAGAATAAGCAGCACAATGTTTTTTATTCCTGTAAATTCTTATATAAAGGCTCAGTATTAGAAATAAAGTTATTCTCCTAGTTGAAAGTTAAGTGTTTCTGCCTCGTGCTGTTATGTTGTCATAAAGTAAATTCCTTTTGGAACTGAGCACTGTGGCAGGTATGTCTTTCCTTTGGCATATGTGAAGCAGACATGTTAAACTGATTATTCATATAGCCCTACATGGTGTTTCTTGTCATATGTGGTGTGAGGTTAGCAGCTCTCTGTTCTTCCAAATAGCCAGTCCTCTCTGCACTGTTTGATTAATTCATCCTTTTCTTGTTGGCTTGATATGACCAGTTGGAATAACTGGTTACCCACCTTGAGAGCATAAAAAGAGTAGGTGTTTACCTCACATATTATAATGAGTACATTTTTGTGTGGATTTTTAATTTAAATATAATATTTTGACAGTATTTCTGATTGGCAAAATTCAAATGCCCATAAAATAAGACTCCAGTGTATTATAAATTCTCTATAGGTAGATATATATGGATTAAAATACATGGCAAAAGGCCCAGGATACCTGC